TGTCATCTGATTGTCCATTACCGCCTATGTGTAACCTTTGGCGGACATTCCGAGATGTGACGGTTGCAGGATGGGATGATCAGTATCAGACAAGGATCGAGTATTGGCGGCATATTCGTAGAGGAACTGAAGTTTGATATATTATGATATTCAACTTATGTTTGTTGCGATTGATGACATTCATTATATTAATCTGCATTTATGATCGATATATTGTTATATTTGACCGTGTTTACCGTTTCACGTGATATTATGGAATTTTTGGGTTGGAATGTGGTATAACATTTGGAAATAGATGAAAATAAAATGAAGCAACAACAAGTAAAAAAAANGTATAACATTTGGAAATAGATGAAAATAAAATGAAGCAACAACAAATAAAAAAGAAAAAAACAATTCAAATAACATTCAATCGTACAACAAAATCCAAAATAATATAAAAAAAAATATTTATTACATCAACGCTGCGCCCTTTCCCAATCCGCCTTAATTAGGGCCAGCGTATCTGCATGACGCGCCGCCACAGCAGGATCAACAATCTCGAAATCCCGCAGGAGGTCTGATGATGCGGAGAATAACCGATTCACCCACTACACATAAAAGCAGAAGTAAAAATATTATCACATATATATATTAAAAAACGACTTACTATTGTAATGAAAGCACAATATCTAAAATTCGTAAACGACTTACATAATCGGTGTTGGCGCGCGAAGGGACGACGTTGTCGTCCGGCAGACTGTCAGGCAAGAGTCTAGGATGAGAAAACTGATCATACCATTGTTGGTACTGCTCATGGGCCTCCTCTGGATCATCTGCGGTGGTCGGAGTACAATGAGTTAAGTTTATAGAATGCAGCTGCGGGAACTGGTCCCAGTGATCCACTGCAGTAGTATCCGCATGCTCAACCTGTACAACCTAGAGTTCCAGGCACGGACTGCCTTGAGCGGACGATCTATGCGGAGAGGGACAGTCTGCACGTAGCCCAACTGGCGCAACCAGCGCAGAGGCATGTACGGCTCCACAATATCCCGGTACCTAAGGCATCCGTTATAAAGGGTCCTAGGCTCGATGTCATGTGGCCGACGATCGTAGCGCAGCCAGTCACCTAATCACGATTGCATAAAAACATTTATTGAAACAATTCAATTATTCCAAATAACTTTCAGCTAAATGTAAATAAAATAACTTAACGCACCTCGGCGGCGGTGAGAATGTCAAGCTGCCTACAGAAAGCTTTGAGGCGCGCATTTGACCTCTCCGTCACCGTCATGCTCCACGAGGCTGATCGGGCGATACAGCCAGGCTCGGGGATCATACGCGCTCGCTGGGGTCGGAAGGTGGGGAAGTACTCGTATATCCAGGACTGCATGAGAGTCAAGCAGTCAGACACTCCCTGTGAGTCCCCCCTACTGCCAATACCTAACTGTCTGTACAGGTATGCCAGCGCAGCCGAGCCCCAAGAGTAAGTCCCAACTTCCCGTACCTTGTCCATCATCTCGTGCAGGAGTTTGGGACTGACCTGTTACCACTCTTGTCCACAAACAAGGTGGTAGCGAGCAGCACCCACAACCAGCCAATAGCCACATGCTCAGCCGACCGAGCTGCGCCATTCTTTATCAGTGCATAAAAAACGGCTTGATTTGTCACAGGCCCGTGATCCCAAAGACGTGTCATCAGATGACTCTGGTCCACCCCGAGGATCTCCACGCAGTTCGCCTGACAGGTCAGGCCGTCGGGGTCTACACTCACAACCGCTGCATCCACAGGAACATCCAAAATGGCCCTCACATCGTGCAGCATGATAGTCATTTCACCAAAAGACAGGTGAAACGAGATGGTATCCGACTGCCAGCGCTCCACAAATGCAGAAATGAGTGGAGTTTCGACGTGAGTATGCATGCTGGACGCCAAACGTGACAGCCCGGTCTGAACGATTATATCACGCGCATCCTGGACCATCGTTTCGAGCCAGCCCCTCAATTCACCGTTCGCTCCCTGCCTGTTTTGGCATTTAAGCATGCCTCTGAGCTCTTCAGTCCACATACGGGAGGCTACATGCCCTAGAAAACTAGGGATAACACTCCCGTCAATGGGGCCACCGGGCACTGGGGCTGTAATGATCCAGGGGTCATTCTTCGGCCGTTTCCTACTCGCACCTGTATTACAATAGAACAATCAATATATATACGACATATTGTGACTGACCATATCAATTATTTAATAAAAAAACATATAATGGTAAACAACAATAAATACGTAAATCATTTACCTGAGGAAGATCCAGCGCCCGCAAAACGACCCCCATTCTGTCGTGGAGGATTAACTCGACTGAGTCTTTTACCTGCACCGGCTGCAGGTGCAGGACCCTGTGGTCGCTCTGGCTGTGCCTGTGGGTCAGGAGATACAATGTCCTGCTCAGCTGCCGCAGAGTCGGAGTCATATGTCTCGTCATCACCATCACCACCATCATCATCATCATCATCATCATCATTCACCGGAGTTCTGACTGCCGACTCAGAAGAATAACCCTGCGATCGAGTGATACGTATCCGAGGGAGACGTCCCGAACTGAGAGGCATGAGTGAGACGGAATGCTGACCACTCTGTATCAGAGGGGGACGTCCCGAACTGGCAGGTACGAGTGGCCCAGACTGCTGACCACTCTGTATCGGACGAACGAGACCTCCCGAACTGCCAGCCATGACTGAGCTGGACTGCTGACCGAACTGCTGACCACTCTGTATCAGAGGGGGACCTCCCGAAGTGGCAAGAATGAGTGGCCCTGACTGTTGACCACTCTGTATCGGACGAACGGGAGGTCTCAAACCGCCAGTCTGCCCAAGCTGTACCAGGAGAGCCTCACGGCGCCTCTCCTCCATCTCCCGCCGAGCGGAAGCATCCACACAACGACTATACGTGTGTTGGGGTCCACAACCCTCAAACTCGGCAACATGCTCATCCCGATCCTATTAATTAGTAAACAAAATTTTTTAATTCATTAGTATAAAATTATAAATTGATCATAAAATTATAAATAATATTAATAAAATAATATTATAAATTATATTTGTTGATTATAAAATGATGAATAATATTTATAATTTTTTAGTATATATATAATATAATATAATATAATGAATTTAGTAATATATATATTAGTATAAAATATATATTAATTTTATTAATTTATATTAATATAACTATTTATTAATTTCAATTATTAATATATTTTAATTAATAATATATGCATACATATATTTTTATTATTAATATCTTTTTTTCTTAATAATATACTTTTAATATATTTTCATTTTAATATAAATAATAATATATATGAAATTATTTGAATTTATTTATATTATTTTTACTTTTTTCTAATTAAATAAAAATATTAAAAGCGAAAACAAAAACGCAAAATAAAAATAATTAAATAAATAATATATTTGAATTTTTTAAAATATTAATATAATTAATATATTTGCATTTTTTAATTAAATAAAAAATAAAAAATGCAACAATATATATTAAAATTTTTTAATTATTTACTTTTTCAATTATAGAAAATATATATTAATATATGAAATTTTTTAAATTTATTTTATAATATTAAAAGTATATATATATATGTATTAACGTATATAAATATATATATATATATATATTAATATATACAATTATATACTAATATTTATTTTTAATTAAAAAAAAA